CAGGGCCGGGACGGGGACAATAGAGTTTCCCTGGTGTTGCCCAGAGTGGCCACCAGGGAAAGCTGGGGAGGGCTAGCCTCCCACTAGTTCGAATTAAGGGGCTACACACCCCTTAATTCGAACTAGTAAGTTCGAACTAGTCTTAGTGCTCGTACAATGAGGTTTACCTAGTTCGAACTAAGCTCTCCGCTAGTTCGAATTAAGTTCGGACTAGCAGAGCGCTAGTGTAGCACCTACCAAAGTTAATTCGAACTAACATCCATTAGTTCGAATTAACTTTGTAGTGTAGACATACCCCCAGAGGCTCTGGCTCACCTGCCTGGCTCTGCTTTCCCCTGTCCCTGGCTCTGCTTCCTGAACCCTCAGCTCTCCCGGGGTTCCCCAGCTATGCGCACGCATGGCTACAGCTGTGCCTGGGGTTTCCTGTCCCCATCCCCCACACAGCAACAGCTGCTCTAGGGGCTATCTACCCCCAGGTCACTGGCCCCGCAGGCTGCCGCTAACCAAACCAGCTCTGCTCCCAGCCACTCTCAACCTCTCGGGCCGGGGGCTCTGGTCTAGCAACATTTGTGGTTCTGCTGGACCATGGATGTTGCCAGACCAGAGAGCCCCGAACGAGAGAGGTTCAACCTGTAGCATAAAGGCTGTAATGATCTGTTCCTATGTTACAAAGGAGGGCTAGACTGCCACATAAATTGATCTAACGTACGTCACTCAGGAGTGTAAAAAACCACACCCTGTGCAATGCAAATTAGTTTGACCTAAGTACTGTCAAGACTGTGCTATGTTGGCAAGAGATGCCCTTCCACTGCCATAGCTTCCACCTCTCATGGAGGCTGAGTAATACCCGCAGGAGAGCACTGCCTTTCTGGGCATACAGCATCTTCACCAGAAGCACTACAGCAGCACGGCTGCATCAGTGCAGTTTTGGAGATGCATACACTATGTTGTTGTATTGTTGTGTGTAGCCAAGTCTATATAAGTAGGGTGTGCTCAGGTTGTGCTCAGGATGTATTTCTGCTATTAAAAGAAAAAACTGGATAAAGGGAAAATATTCTATTCTGTACGAACTGGGAGGAAATTCCAGTGAAATATATTTAGTTATTTGATTACTGTTATTTGACAGCCTCATACTAAATTAAGAACCATCTGCAGAACACTTAAAAGTAAAAAACTTGTTAACATTTGTTCTGCTCATCTCAGTTAAACTCTTTAAATCTTAATCTCTTCCTAGATTTTAAAGCCATTTATAGCCCCTAATATAGTATTAATGTAGGCTCCATTAAAACAAATTATTATGATGAGGGGGTAGTGTCCCCTGCTCGCTATGCTAACCAGTGCTCCTCTCCAGGGATAGGCAGACCCGGTTCCTCCCTGACCGCCAGAGAAGGCCAGGCCGAGATGTGGCAGCCCTGGCCTGTCCCAGCTCTTTCCCCGAAGCTGCCTGGCCTCCCTGAAGCCAGGCCAGCCAAAGAAGTTCCTCCCCAGCTACCAGGGAGAAGGTTGCAAGGAGGGAGGGTGTGTGGCTCACAGTTCCTCCCCCTAAACCCGTGAGGGAGGAGGTCTCATGGCTTGCAGGCCCCCCCCTTCCGCTGCTCCAGCCCCAGCTGTCCCCACCCTTCATCCCTGGCCATGCCAAGCCCTATGCTCTCCACCCTGGCACATTCTCTCCAAGCCCGGGCTGGTGGCGGTAAGGAGGAGGGGCGGGGCTCAGGTTCCTTGCCAAACCCCACATTTCTCTCCCCCTGCCTGCTGGGAGGGAGGGGGGACAAAGCCCGGGCCCCTCACCCTTCCCCCCAACTGCAGGGAAGGAGGAGGTGCAGGGCCCAGCCCCCTCAACAGGACCTGAACTTTCTCCCCCTCCCCAGCTGCTGGGAGGGGGGTGACTCCCAGGCCCCTTGCCCTGCCCCCACGGCCACCAGGAGGGGGGCCCAGGCCCCTCGCCAGGCCACGTGCTCTTTCCTCCCTCTCCCCGCGCCGCCAGAGCAGCACAATTTAAAACTCTGGCAGCTGCCTACTATGTGGCAGCTGCCGGAGGTACAGCCAGCCCCGGCTTAGGGGCCGAGGTGTCCCCCAGTCCGGGCTCGCTCTCCCGCAGTGGACCTCTACCCCCCACTGCTGGAGCCCTGCAATTTTTCTCCTCCCCCCCAGCCACAAGCCCAGCAGTAGCAGCTTATCCTCAGTGCTACTGCCATTCAAGGGAGTCATAGGTTGCTGAGCACTACTGAGTTAGCAGCAAGGAGGAAGGGAGGGAGCAGGGCAGCTGAGGGGGGAGGGACTGTGGGATGCAGAATGAGGTGATTATGTCACTTGTCCCACAGAAAAATCTTTTTTATATATATAGAAAGTTAAACATATTTTAGGCTGTCATGTATATCAGTGAAAACACATATTTTAAAATAAATTCAATGGGATAAGATCCTAGCTACTTTGCAAGGATTTACAAGGTTTTTAAAAGGTTTTTACAATTTTTCCCCAAAACATGTGTCTTTTCGCTTATTCAAAAAAGCATTTTATAAATACAGAACATGACTATGATGTGTGTATATTTATTTACTGGTTTTCTGCCAATATGGACACGTATTATCATTAGAACTTATTTACATAAACTTTAATTGCACTGTAAGGGTACATCTACACAGCAACATTATTTCAAAATAACTAGCTTTATTCCAAAATAACTTAATCCCTACCCAGCAGGGAGTTATTTCAAAATAGTGTCAAAATACTGCCAAGCTGGAGGACTTCTTACTCTGACTCCTGTAACTCTCATTGTACAAGGAATAAGGGAAGGCAGAGGAAGAGTGCTCTATTTTGAAATAAGTGCTGTGTAGACACTCCCAATTTCAAAATAAGCTATTTTGAAATAAGCTACGCAATTGACGTAGCTCTATTTGTATAGCTTATTTCAAGTTAAACCCTGCTGTGCAGACACATCCTAAAAGGGCTGCCATTTGCTACAATGTGAAACATTTAATATAATAAATGATTTTTTTAAATAGTACACATTGCCTGATGAATCAGATGCTCAGTAGCTTATTTACCTTTTTGTACAGAATACAGGAGAACATAAGTATTTAGTATTCTTATTTTGGGGTACGTTAATTTAGTAGGGGGAATTGCTTCCAGAACCTTTTGACAAAGTTAAAAGTAATTAGTTTTCCAGAACTTCCACTCTATATAATACATTTACTTAAAAATGTTAAATGAATCTGTCGGTCTGTTCTTCCTAAATGTTCTATCATCTAATTCCATCCTGTGTGAAAATATATAATTCATTAGAAAGCAAAAATTGTATTAGATATTTATCCTATTTTGTTCACATAGTGGTCATTGTGGAAACATGATGGAATGTTTGCCAACCAAATGAAGTAAATCATTAACATATGCTAACATTGAAAAATGTACACAAGACTTTTACTTTCCTCTGGTTGCTATGTTTCAACTATTTCAACAGAACCATAATGCACAGTAAAATAAATGGTTGCAGAGTTATTCATTTTCTGATTCTAGACTTTGTCATTTAATAATCTGTAGCAGTTATAAGGATGCTATAAGTATCTGAACTGTTTCCTCAGCTATTTCTTAAAGCATGATAGTGTCATATAAAAGCAATGTCTCTAAGAAAACCCAAGCTTTTTAGAAGTATATTGCTTACTTTTCTCTCTTCAGTATGGCTGTTTGGCTTAACCATTCTGAAACTGTACCCTCCCTCTACTTAGTGGGGTGTGGGGGAGTAGCCAGGGAGAAAAGAAGCTTGACTGTGGCTTCCTCACACCATAGCAGCAACAACAATCTCCTGCTGCTATAAAGACCCCTTGACAGACAGCACAACTTACAGCAAATTTAGGTTTAACTTACACTGGGTGACTGGCCAGGAGGAAAGTCAGCCCAGGATCATGGAAGCAAAAGAGAGAGCTTGGAGCTCCTACCCACAGAAATTGTGCTACACACCTTCAACTGTGCAAAGAATCCTGGCTCTAGTGTTCAGAGCGGTCTATAACTGGTCTGATTTTAATCTCACTTGTACTTGTTTCATAATAGTGTTATATGGAGTTACTCCTAATTTACACTAGTGCAAAGGCACATCTATACATACTGCAAGATCGACACTCTGGTGGTTGGTCTTGTAGTACTGTATTCAGTTTAGCAGATCTAGCAGCTCATGCCAGCATCCAGTACTTCTCCTTTTGCGAAGAGTAAGGGAAGCTGACTGGAGCATTTGCTCCCATTGGCCTCCCACCATGTGGATGCTGCCATGACTCAGCTTAAAGTAAGCCAATTCCAGATACACATTTTGCATAGCTGGAGTTGCATACTTTAAGCTGACCTTTTAGGTCCAGTGTAGACCTGACCTAACAGAGTAGAATCGGGTCTGCTATACAATCATTACTAACGTAAGTACAACCCTTGAAATAAATGGGATTGCTCACTGAAAGGGGCACTATTCGACTTAAGAACAGCCATACTGAGTTAGACCAACAGTCCATCCAGCCCAGTATCCTGTCTTCCAACAGTAGCCAAAGCCAGATGCCCCAGAGGGAGTGAACATAACAGGAAATCATCAAGTGATCCCTCTCCTGTCATCCATTTCAAGACAAACAGAGGCTAGGGACACCATTCCTACCAATCCTGGCTAATAGCCATTGAAGGACCCAACCTCCATGAATTTATCTAGTTTTTTTTTCAACCCTATTAAAGTCTGGTCTTCCCCACATCCTCTGGCAAAAAGTTCCACAGGTTGACTGTGTGCTGTGTGAAGAAAAACTTCCTTTTGTTTGTTTTAAACCTGTTACCCATTTATATCATTTGGTGACCCCTAGTTCTTATGTATTGGGATACGAGTATCAGATTCTACAGCCCTCAGTTTACATGGCAATATTTAGGCTGTCATAAATATTATTCCCCTTAAATTTACATTTTTAAAACAGTATTGTATTATTCTGTGTGTACATTTAGGAAGTATGTGTAAACTTACCACTGTAAGCTGAAGTGAATAAGAAAATGAACTTAAAGGTCTGATAAATCCAAACCATCCTAAAAAATAAATACATCCAAATGTTTCTTTACGATATAATTAACATGTGCAACAACTATTCTAAAAGACTAGAAGAGATACACATTACTAGGTAATTTACAGGCAATTTTTCTGTCAGACAGTCAATTAAAAATAAGTCATAGAATACAATTGGAGTGACAATGGTGAAATATATACAATAGCAGCAGATGTTTCACACTGTGTTTATGACTGCAAGCGTGAATTAAATTTACAAATATTGGAACAAATTCTGCTTGGCTTTCCAGTGGAGTTACTTTGGATTTTCACTTGATTAAACTAACCAAAAAATTGGCCTGCTATTTATAAATGTATTTATAAATTTCAGTATTACCAATATGACCATCTCCTGCTAGTCAGTTATTTCCAAATGGTATTTAATCTAAACAGTGTTAGCAATAATGTAGGCATTGCATTCAACCTTAGCACTTGAGCAAAAATCTGAAATCTCACTAGATGAATCTTAAATTCTTCACCTTTAAAAATCTTATGCTGAAAATGTTAGGAGTAGCAAATGAATAACCCATAGTGGATATTGCCAATCTTCTATTTGATAGCAATTAAAATAATGGAAGTTATTTACCTGAAAGCACAATAGCTGCACTTGTGTGGGTAGCTCTGGCTGTTTGGCTAATATGCATGCCCAGCACTTCTAATTATGTTAAATATTATTTTGCATGCAATGTTTGCCTGACTTTAATATTTACTTTAAAGGGTACACACAATGTCAACATTGTGTCTGTTTTGGGGCCAGATCCTTAGCTAGTACAAAGTGGTAGCACCCTAGCGAACTCAATGTAGCTCCAGCACTTTACACCTGCTAAGGATCTGATACGTTGCTTTTAATAAATGTCTGATCCCTGTTTTACAATAGTCAAATCTTCTTCTGCTTAATACAGGACCGTACGCATAAATGATTGCTAGGTTGTGCAAGGAAAACTTCAGAGCATGGACAAAAGAGCATCCACCTTCTTTTATCCTGTTCTTCTCTCCTTGTCTCCCCACCTGTCTACCCCGCACAGGAAATGGGCCTGATCTCTCCTCACTTTCATCAGTATGAATCCTACAGTTGTATCACTTGAGTGTTAGTGAAGCTGCTGAGAATGATGACTCAAGTTCAAGTGAGTTACAGTGGTGAAAATCTGCTGCAACTGAGAAGGACTGAAGACCAGGGGCTGGGCAAATACCAACTTGTCAGCCAGATCTGGTTCCCCAGCGTTAACCCCTGTGGGCCACTGCTGCAATATTTACTTGTGCCTCCACATGTACAGATGATTGCAGCTCCAGCTGGCCACAGATCATTGTTCTCAGACAATGGAAGCTGCAGGAAGGGGTGACCCAGTCTCCACCGCTTCCTGTAGCTCTCTTTGGCTGGGAACAGCAATCTGCAGCCAGTGGACGCTGCAATGGGCCATACCTGCAGAAGTGCAGGTAAATATAGAGGCAGTGTCCTGCCAGGGGCTAATGCTGGTGAATCGCTGCCATTTTACTGCTGACCCCTGCTCAAGACTAATGTTTCTTTCCTTTTACCATAGATTCTAGAAGTGCTGCATTTAGCAAGTGAGAAACAATGCACTTTTTAGTTTTGGTGACTGCATTCTGCTCTCATAATATTCAATTTCCTAACTCTCTAAAGACTCTGCATCAGCTAGCCCACCTGTGTTTCCAGACTCATTTCTCGCTACAGTTTCTGACCTATTAAGCCCCCTCAACATTCTCTTTCTTAAACACTTCCTTATTATTGGCTATTCCTTATTCTCCTGCAATGGGACCTTATCATTTCTCCTTATGGTTTATATTGACTCTGCTACCAGTGTGCATGTCCTTTTCTTCATTAATTTGCTCTTCTAACAAGACAGATGGTTGTGGGGAAAGAGGGCTGGGGTGCCATAGGCAGGCTCTGGCCAGGAGACTTACCTCCCGCCCAGCATGTTTCTCAGGCAGCTTTCTTCCCTGCCCTGCCCCAACACAGGCTTCTGAAATGAAGAGCCTGAGGGGCAGGGGGATGGATGCTTTGTGTGCTGCCTATTCTTCAAAGAGGCAGCTCTCATTGGCTAGAATTCCAATGGGATTGTGCTGGAAGTGGGGGCAGCCTTTCCCCGTTTCCCCCAGCTCACAGCTCAGAAACACAAAGAGCTCGGCAGCCGCTTTTCTGAGTAGCATGCAGGGGCTGGGGCATGCAGGGAGTCTGCCTGAGGATCCCTGCTGCATCTGCAGGCTGGATCTAGTGGCTTGGTGGGCTGGATCTGTCCCATGCACCATATTTTGCCCAACCCTGATCTAGCCATTAGCCTCTTTATGCATCAGTCCCCTTCCAATAAAATAAGAACAACAGTACTTTCCTGTTTCCAAAAGGAGTGAGAAGATAAATAGATTAAAAGATTGGGAGGCACTCAGGTACAACTGTAATGGGAGCCATATAAGTACCATAGATAAAAATAACAAATGGTCTGGTAGCATTTTATAGACTAACAAAACATGTAGATGGTATCATGAGCTTTCATGGCCACAGCCCACTTCTTCAGATGACTGGAGTTAAGAGTAGGGGATATGAAAACTCGAAATAACTAGGACAGGGGAAGGAGAGGGGGGAGAAAAAGAAAAAAAGGAAAAAGGAAGGGGGGTGTGAGACAGGGCATCATTAAGTATCTGGAGAATGGGTACTTAAACCTAAGCAGATCAAAGTAAATAGATAGATGCTAAGACAGGAAGGATACCACTCACAGAGCTGTTAGTCTTAGCTTCTATTTACTTTCTATTTATTTAATCTAGAATGGGCATCTATACATTTGTCTGCTTAATTTTCCATCAAGTCCAGCTCCACCATGAGAAGAACAAAATTCCTAGACCCTAGGTAAAGACTGGGAAAGATTTTTTAAATGAAAAAACATGAAAGAGGTGCAAATTTTGGTTTAGCTGGCTGGCTAACCTAACAAACCAGTAAAGGGGAAGTTAAGGCAATGGCTGTAACACCTTCATTACAAATCTCTGAATTTACTAAATGGAACTCTGTGTCATAGGTATTTGTCAGCCGACGGTCAGGGCAGGGTGTGTTCCTATACCTGTCCCTTATAACTGGCTTAAGTTCTTTTAAATTGTGCTTGGTTCTGTTACAGCAACTGAAGGAGTCAGGTTAAAGCTTAAACAGTTACAGGTTTATTAAAGCAAAATGCAGGACAATATAGCACTTTAAAGACTAACAAGATGGTTTATTAGATGATGAGCTTTCGTGGGCCAGACCCACTTCCTCAGATCAAATAGTGGAAGAAAGTAGTCACAACCATATATACCAAAGGATAGAATTTAAAAAAATGAACAAATATGAAAAGGACAAATTACATTGCAGAACAGAAGGGGGATGCGGGGGGGTGGGAAGGGGGAGGAAGGAAGGTAAGTGTCTGTGAATTGCTGATATTAAAGGTAGGGAGAGTGGGATGTTTGTGAGTTAATGGTATTACAGGTGATAATTGGGGAAACTGTCTTGGTAATGGGTGAGAAAGTTCAAAGACTTGTTAAGTCCCTGTTGGTAAGTGTTGAATTTTAACATGAATGACAGTTCAGAGGATTCCCTTTCAAGTGCAGATGTAAAAGGTCTTTGTAGCAGAATGCAGGTGGCTAAGTCATTTAGAGAGTGTCCTTTCTGGTTAAAGTGGCAAGAAACTGTTTTCTCTTTGTGATCTTGTCTGATATCTGTTTTGTGGGCATTAATCCTTTGGCGAAGTGTCTGAGATGTTTGTCCAATGTACATAGCAGACGGACACGTTCGGCACATGATAGCATAGATTATATTTCTGGATGCGCAGGAATATGTGTTCTTGATCTTATAGCTCACTTGGTTAGGTCCAATAATGGTATCAGCAGAATGAATATGTGGACAAAGCTGGCAACGGGGTTTGTTGCAAGGGAAGGTACCAGGGTTGGTATTAGTGTGGTATGTCCTGTGGTGGTTGGTAAGAATCATCTTGAGGTTAGGTGGTTGTCTATAGGAGACTATGGGTCTGTCTCCAGAGCCTCTTTGAGTATGGTATCCTGTTCCAATATAGGCTGTAGTTTATTGATAATGTGTTGGACAGGTTTAAGTTGGGGGTTGTAGGTGATGACAAGTGGTGTTCTATTGTTGGTTTTCTTGGGTCTGTCTTGAAGTAGATGGTTTCTAGGTATTCGTCTGGCTCTTTCAATTTGCTTTTTTGTTTCTCTGGGTGGGTAGTTGAGATTTATAAATGCTTGGTAGAGATCCTGAAGCTTCTGGTCTCTGTCAGTGGGGTTAGAGCAGATGCGGTTGTATCGAAGGGCTTGGCTATAGACGATGGATCGTGTGGTGTGTTCTGGATGGGAGCTGGAAGCATGTAGGTAACTGTATGAGTCGGTGGGTTTTCTGTAGAGAGTGGTGTCTAATTTTCCATTGTTGATTTGTACGGTGGTGTCCAGGAAGTGGATCTCTCGTGTAGAATGGTCCAGGCTGAGGTTGATGGTGGGGTGTAGGTTGTTGAAATCTCTGTGGAATATCTCCAGTGTTTCTTGGCCATGTGTCCAGATCATAAAGATGTCATCGATGTACCGTAGGTAGAGGAGGGGTGAAAGGGGACGGGAGTTGAGGAAACGTTGTTCTAGGTCAGCCATAAAGATGTTAGCATACTGTGGGGCCATGCGTGTACCCATGGCTGTGCCGCTGATCTGGAGGTATAAGTTGTTCTCAAACCGGAAATAATTGTGGGTGAGAACAAAGTTACATAGGTCTGCTATCAGGTTGGCAGTAGTGTCCTCTGGGATAGTGTTTCTAATTGCTTGTAATCCGTCTTCATGTGGGATGTTGGTATATAGAGCTTCTACATCCATGGTGGCAAGGATGGTATTATTGGGGAGGTTATCGATGTTTTGTAGTTTCCTTAGGAAGTCAGTAGTGTCTCGGAGATAGCTGGGGGTATTGGTTACGAAGGGTTTGAGAAGAGTGTCTACATAGCTGGATAGACCAGTAGTGAGCGTGCCAATACCAGAGATGATGGGACGTCCGGGGTGCCCAGGTTTATGGATCTTGGGAAGTAGATAGAACAATCCTGGTCGGGGGTCAGAAGGTGATTCTGTGAGGATTTGTTCCCGAGTAGCTGTGGGGAGGCTTTTAAGGAGACAGTGTAGTTTCTTTTGGTAGTCCAAGGTGGGATCAGAGGGGAGAGGTTTGTAAAATGTGGTGTTCGAGAGTTGTCTGGTTGCCTCCTGGTTATAGTCGGCCTTATTCATAATGACCACAGCACCCCCTTTGTCAGCTGGTTTGATTACAATGTCCAGGTTGTTTTTGAGACTCTGGATGGCATGGTGTTCAGCGCGGCTAAGATTGTGTGTCGCTTGTTGTCGTTTGCGAATAATGTCAGTCTGTGCGTTGTTGCGGAAGCTGTGTATATAGAAATCCAGATTGTAATTCCGACCGTCAGGGGGAGTCCATATAGAATTATTTTTCCTTTGGTGTTGGTAGGGGGGATCTGGTAGGTCAGATTGATGTTCAGTGGTGGTTTGGAAATATTCTCGGAGACGGAGGCGGCGAAAAAAAGCCTCAAGGTCACCACAAAATTGTATCCAGTTTGTGGGGGACGTGGGGCAGAAAGAGAGACCCCGGGACAAGACAGACTCTTCTGCTGGATTGAGTTTGTAGCTGGA